CTTTGAAAACTTTATATGCTTTTATTTCTGGTTGTGTAGAGCCTCTTGGTACTTTTAAGGTGGTTTCAGCGCTCTTATCCTTCTCTGCTTCTTTAACTTCTACTTTGCTTCTCAGATGTCATTTGTACTTGTACTTTTACATTGCCAAGATTTTAAAATATTTACACTGAGTGTTCTATTTTACACTCAGATTAAGTTATCCTTTCTCTTCAGTTAATCCTACACAGAAAATCAATCAAGTGTTAATTATGATTATATGAAAATAGTTCCCTGTGTGATCAGAATTACATTTCCTATCTAATTTTTGCTTCACATTTCCAATTGCCTCCTTTTTTGCTAGCAGCATTTGTATTTATCGTCTGTTTGAGTTGTTTCATATTCTCAAGGATAGCATCACTTCTCTGCAGTCATCATATCCCAGATACCTGCCTTTGGAGCTCTGCACCCCTGATCTAGTCTGCCCAGATGCCCAGGGGCTTCTTGCCATTGCTGCAGTTGCATTTGGAGCCACTATTTCCTGGAACTCATTCATTCTTTCTTGTTTTACGCACTCATCCTGCTGCAGCATATCCTCAGATAATTTCCTAAGTGTGAAGGAAGTAAACTCTAGGCATATCGCAAGTTCTCAAAATGTTTTTATTCTTAAACCATCTGTTTGTTGCCACTCTTATCTCTATTGTGGCTGAGGATATTAATATTTAGCTAATTCTCTTGTTCCAATATGTGCAGTTTCACTATTCTACATAACTCAGGGCAAGCATCCTTATTTCTCCATTTTTGTACACATAATTCTTTTAAAGAATAGTTTTGTAGAATTGAGATTTCTGGGCAATTGAGAATTGAGATTTCTTGGCAATTTGTAGAATTGAGATTTTCTTGAGCCCTCAAAAAAGGGGTGTGTGTGTTTGTGTGTGTGTGTGTGTCAGTGTGTGTGTGTGTGTGAGTGTGTGAGTGATTTAGCTGGTTAACATGTAGGGATTATTGTGTCAAAATGGTTCTTTTCATCAAGATTGGATGGTTTTAGTTGCTGATCTGTTTTCTTTTATTTTATGAATACTGGCAGTTTATAGGACTCAGGTACTCTAAGGAAGGTAGGCCAGACTTTTCTGAGGAAATTGGAAATTATATCTGGTAAGAAGATAGATGTGTGCTGTCTTTAACTATTTGAAGGTTTATCATATGAAAAGGAGGTTTTGGATCACCAAGACCAGAAGTAAGAGGGGGCAATTATAAGACAGCAAGGGTGCAGTTTAGTTTTAGAACTTACTGAATAGCAATCCCAAGAAGGAGTAAGCTATTTTTCAAGATGTTACATCCCTCACAATACAGTTGCTCAGGCTGAGGAGCAAATTGGAAGGGCTCTTCTAGATGGGATGTAAAAATCTGTGGGTAATAGAACCAGACAGCTTCAGTGGACATTTCAACCATGTCATGCTGTGAATTTAATAAGCATAAGATGGTCACAAGCAGAGTTAAGTTTCGATTGGGTAGAGTATAGTTTTGCAAAGTGAGGTACAGAGTTGGTATCATTTATTAGGTAAATAAAACAGTTCAGTTTTCCCTTAGAAGTATTTATATTTCTTTTCACCCTTTTTTCCCCTGCAGTAATTATAAAGTAATATTGACTAATTGATAAGGCATGGTTTGTTGACATGATTTATGTTCTATGGTAAAATTGCAGTAGCAAGCCTACATTCCTTCCTGGTTAGCTGTGATGGTGATCTGTTTCTTCTCATCCATTTCTTGTCATTTCAGGCTTGACCCTATAGTCCTAAGAAAACAGCCAGGTGTCAGGTAAAGCCTTTACTCAAGGTGAAAAGGTAACTACCTAGGCCAGGTAGGAATAGGTCCTAATTTTAGGACTTGTTCTTATACTTACTTACTCATATTTATAATTCTATTTTAAAAAATTACCTAGTTCAGTTTTTACAAAAAATTTTTTTTCAATTTTTAGGATACCTTTTCAGTTTCAGTATTTTTTATATTAGTATGCATCTGATATTTTTCTTACATCAATTCTGTCATACACACACAGTATTATGTCCATTTTACAAATGGAAAAACCAAAGTTTAGGTCCGTTTTGCCCAAAGTCACCCAGGATTCAAATTCTGGCCTCCATCCCATAGGCCCATGATCATTCATGAGCTGTCCCTACTTCTCCTTACTTAATTGCTCAGTCATCAAACTGCCCAAAGAGAAGAAGATTCTGTAAAATTTTTAGTGGTCAGTCAATAAATATTTTTGGAAATTCTACTATCAACACTGGAATATAGTAGTAAAACCAAATAGCATTCTTAGGAACTTCCTTTTACCAGTTAATTTTAACTCTCTCTTTCCATTGTTCAATAAAGGAGATGGTGATGGTGGTAATGGTAGCCATATGCTCCTAAGTATTTATAGTTACAGAGATCTGGAAATGGGGTTAGAGGGGTTCAGTCATAACCAGAAGATCATGCAACTAATGAGAGGTCCCTAGTGTGCTGGCCTGCTTGTTGATAACTGTTTTTCTTCTGATCCATAGCTGTTAGGTGGGTCTCACGTTCCCCTACCTCTTTCAGTTATCTGCCACCCTTTACCCGTGTTGCTTGTCTAATCTCATGCATCAAGGTTTGAACATTGAACATCCGATATTTTTTTCTCATAACATGTTTTTAACAATCTCTAATTCTGTATTAAAAATCTGTTTACAAAATTGAAATCTGCATTTTTTTCTCCTTTTATAATAGAATACTAATATCCAGTCAAAGTGTTCTCAGCCACTCAGAAATAGGCCTGAAGGACTCTTACGATTTTGATTTTGGAGGTGATTCCAGTAAGCAGGCAAGGTTCAACTTAGAACACATGAGGAGGGACTGAGTTATGGGGAGGACAGTAAATGAGGCACAGAAAATGCAGGTATTTGCACAAGCAAGATCTGGGAAGGCACTTGACCCCGCTGGTGCTTGTTAAGGGTTAGGGAAAACCTGCTAGATGACGTAGCAGATCTGCTTTGATCATGATGTAGAATCTAATGGAGGTGAGTGCAGATTTTCCCTAGTTGCAATTTCAGAGAAGGGAACTAGGACAGTGGTTCTCTAACTTTAATGTAAGTTCGTAATACCTGGACAGCCTGGTTAAAAGACTGCTGGTCCCACCACCAGGGTTTCTGATTAGAATATGCATATCTAGCAAGTTCCCCTGTGGTGCTGCTGCCTTTGGTCGAGGACCACACTTTGAGACCCAGTGGGCTAAAAATGAGTTAACTAACCATTCTCCTTTGGAAAAGGTGAAAGAAATTAGGGAAGATGTAAAAAAAAAAAGGATTTCGTAAAGGCTAAGGGCAGTTCAGATAAGTATTATTGGAGAAGAAAACAGAATAAAAGTATCCTGCTGTGTCATGGATGGAAAGGTGTCATTATTATCTTTTATTAATGCAGGTAATAACTATTTAGTTCTATTGTATTACATTTTCCTTTTTTTAATATATTCTGTCAAAAAGTCTTATACTTACATGTCTTAAAAACATACAGTAATATAGCCTATTGAATTTACATAGTCAACAGAACTAAAGGACTGAAAGAAACATAAAATTATTATATTCACAACTTTTGTTTAATTAGTACTGTTAATTACTCCTAATTGCTATTGTTAATGATTACTATTGTTTTATTTAAATAAAAGCATTTATTGTAACAGCAGTAAATAATACAGGTAACATGATAGTGAGTTTAGGTTAAAAATTTTAGGTCAACCTTGAGAAAACTAATTCTTATACTATACATCTGCATTTTTAATTTGTAATTTACATGGAGAACTATTGAAAGCCCTCAAATAAAAAGTTCATTCGTTATTTTTTTAATTGCTTTATATTATTTGCATTTAGAAGGCAGCATGTGTGGTGTGTAACTAGCAGGAAAAAGCTTCTGAATTTCCACATATGTCTAACATTTTGGCAGGTGGATAGGACAATTTCCTTTAATGTGTAATCATAATTCTGGTTAAACTGTGCTGGAGTGTCTCTTCACCTAGTAACAATTTTAAAGTACATTAAATAATAAAATCCTTAGAATGAATGCTTTCATAAGTTTTCCTTCGAATGCTTACTAACTCTGCTATACTTTTCCTATTATTAAATTGGAGAATAGTCCTAGGCATTATGTTTCTAAATTCAAAAAGGTGCCAGAAGTGTGTATTTTATATGTAGGATCTTCTGATTGACAAATACCTTTTTCACATCAAATATGATAATTCAGTGTTGTTTTAGCTGACAAATACTTATCTGCCCACAGACTTGTATATTGTTATTTAGGATGTTAAGTATATTTCTGAGATTTTTTTTTTATTTTTTAAAGATTGATTTATTTATTCATACAAGCACTGGGTATAGTCAGAAGTGCGGGAGGGTGAGAGAATTCACCAGAGCCAAAGCGGGGAACAGACCAGGCAGAGTGATGAAGTACACTGCTGAGGGGAGCAGCGGGTGGCAGGAGAGGTCTGTGCGCCATGTGGGACCCTCGCCCGGTGGCCGGGGATCGAACCGGCGCTGCAAAGGCTGCAGGCAACTTCACAACCCAGAGCTCAATCGCTGCGTCACCGGGGAGACCCTGAGATTTTTTTTAAAAGTGCTTCTATTAATGAATATAAAAAACAAGTTTCTCTTAACTTAGTTGCCTCTTAGTTGCTCCAAAATGCCTCAACTTCTAAAATACACTATTTTGATCATTCTGTTGTCCTTTGAGAATGCCATTAGTAATGGCCATTTGCAGAATTCATGAGTTCAACGTGAGACAGCTGCTTGAAAACTGTTTTCCTAAGTGAACATAATTTTACAATATGCTGACTTTCAAAAGTGCTGTAGAATTTTAAGGACATTTCTATGTTCTCATGAAGAAGAAAATCAGTTTTCAGACTTGGTTTGTTTTGATGTTTGATGCTGAGAAGCTCTCAAATGTTTCCTCAGCAAATGGAAATTCTGATAAGAATGTTATCCCTGACATTTTGTTTTCTATTTATCATCCAGAGTCATGGAGCACTGGCCTATGTTGGGAATTTTCGCCTGCTCGCAGAGCTGTCCAGCCTTTTGTGAATCAGCGGTAAGTTACTGGTATCATTAATTACTTCAAAGTTGTGCTGTTAATTTTCAGTTTGGGGAAACTTTAGGATCTTTTTCCAAGATATAAAAATGAGAATATGTGATATGAATTCTTATCACTTTGTACAAGTGAGGAAACCAGGTCTTTGGTAGGTGAGAGAAACTTAGCCAAGATTCCCTAGGTAGAAAGTGGTAGTGCTAGTGATGGAGTTCAGATGATATTCAGTGCATGGGGTTCTTGGATCCTTCTGAAAAAGAATTCAGCAGACGTTCCCATTCATCAGGACATGGCAAGTTTATTAAGGAAAAGAGAACAAGGAAAGATGCCTGCATAGACATGGTACATTTTGCCAGGGCAAGGGATTGGGTTGGTTGGTCTTCTAAGATCAATAATCTTCTCTGCCCCACCTCTGGCTGAGAATCTTTTCTGACCCCACCTTAGATTCCTGGAACCTTCCATAGCTGGCTTAGTTAATATTTATTAATCATCCCTACCCCTCCTTTGGGTTTTGACAGGAGTCCTATGGAGATGAAGGGCCTGTCTTGTCACAGCATCTCTGTGGGTGTCTGATACATGAGTTGAGGTGGTGTTTGCCAGGTTTCTCCACTGTTAAGTTTTCCTTCTCCTTACTCTCCAAAGCCTGGTAGGAAGTATAGCCTCTCTCAAAAGGAAAGAATAAGTTAAACTCCACCTTCTGGAGAAAGGTAGTTGCTCATCTTTGACAATTGATTTATTACTGTTATCCTTTATTTTGTTATTTAACAAAGTTTTCAGATTTTTTTCCTATGTAATGCTTAGCTTTTCCTCTCATTCCAGACCCATAGCCCTAGCTTATGGCCTGCAGGATCTCTGTGGTTTGAGTACTGCAATAACTTTCTCATAGACTTCCCTAATTCCAGATCCTCTCTTCAGTCTTCCTCACTGCAGTACCAGAGTAATCCTCCTGGTGTTCCACTTTCAGTGCTTTGCTTTCTTACTGAAAACTATCCTGTTTAGACGCCTCTCTGACTTTTGAAGTTCTCTCTAATGTGCTCCATATGTCTCCAATCTTAGTTCTTACTACTCATTAGAGTCAGTCTTGTACTGACTTACTATCTCATGCATCTATGGGACAGTCTCTCTTCTCTTCCTTTATTCCTATCCTCCGTTTCCCCTTTGTCTTTGAAAAATACATCTATCCTTCAAGTCTTAGGTCAAAATGCCAAACCCAGAGGAAGTTCCCATAATTACATGTAGCCTTATGTGACTTAGTATAGGGATATCTCAGAGACTTGGTGTGTCAGATTAGACTAGCCAGTTAGAGCTGACCCTGTATCAGGCCTCACTGATGATCTCAAAGGCACAGGTAATCACAAGGCACTGGCAGAGCAGGGAGTTTTAAGGGCCATCAGCATGGCTCCCTAGGTCCTTCTTTGCTCTGGGTACCCTCTGAAACACTGTCACTTATGTAGTCTCTAAGCATATTTCTAAGGTGAGTGTAGTTCTTATCACTGATACAGAAGGAGCTCTTTTGATTTAATATGCAGATTGCTACATAGCTTATGTCACATTCCGCAGTTCAGCCCTCATAAATCTGTCCATTCTAGGTTCATACACCTAAGCAGTCCTACACTAAGTATATATAAAAGCATTCTATTGATGAAGACTCCTGTTTTGAATACAACTAATTAGTCTATTTATCAGGAGGTCTGTCATTAGTATGTTTGTTTATCAAGCAGTTAGCCTGATCATCTGTCTTTTCTCTTGCCAAAGGGAAGTTGGTGCTGATGCAGAAGAGAATGGATTATAGATCAGCTGATTTGCTTTTTCTCTCCCAAATACTTATGTCCTGCTTATTTTGTTCGCCAATATTTTATATGTTATAATGTTATTTCTTCAAGTTCTTGGGGCTTGGCCATTTAAACCTCTGCCATCATAATGTGAATATGTGGAGGAAAAGAATGTTCTTTGAAGTCAGAAGACTTGGGTTCAGAGCCAGGATCTTCCACTTACCATTGTTTGTGAATGGAAGGTTATTTAACTTCTCTCAGCTTCAATTTTCTTACCCATAAAACAGGCATCATGATACCTGTAGATGTTATAGTTTATTGTGTAGCTTAAATGGGATTATACTTGTAAAGCACCTGGCACAGTACATATCCAGTATGCTAAATAGCTAGTATACAATACTAGCTAAAACCTAGTAAGTACTGGAAGTGTGTAACTTATAGTTTGCTTTCTTTACTTTGTCCTGGCTTTTTTACTCTTTATCTTATTACAATTAAGATTTTCCTCTGTCATTTTGCTGGAACTGTTACAGTT